TTAATTATTTATAGATCACTAGAAACCAAAGATATGTAAATATATTTTAAAGAAATAAATAAGTCTGCATCAATTTCTTTTTAGATTTCAGTAATTACCCCCCTCCCCCCGCCCGGTCGCAGCGGTCACCGGTTTTCTGGAATTGGCAAGGTGGCAACCCTACATCAGAGAGTATATATCTGATAGTATGTCACACATAAGTTAGGCACCTTTGTGATTTCGGTTATCGATTTTTTTATTTTGTAAGCTGAGGTTTCCATTTATTTATTCGATTATTTACATCATAATAATTTGTTTCAGGGAAAACAATGCAAGACGCGAGTACAAAGTGTGGCTAGGTTCACTTGCTTTTACCCTGGACTTGTTCCCTGTAAGAATTAATTGAAGCATGGCTACGTGAGAATATTGATATGGACGATAAATAAAAATGCAATTCTGCTCTAAATTTTAGAATCTAATTGACCTGAAATAATAATGTCTATAAAATTTGGAACGTTGAATTGCTTATTTTAAAGAGCTTCCGTATTTGTGAAACGACAAGAATTTCAATATTCCTCCCCACTGCGGTCGGTGTTTCTCTATACAAGATATTTGACAAATATCTTTGTGTGAAGAACATTGTGGATATTCTTTGAACTATGACAAATAAATTTGACGAACGAATTACATTTCGTCCAAATTTTATGTAGTTTTGCTCGCGATTCAAGATGGATGACGCACAATAACAGTGTATGTGCTACTTTATGCTCAATAATAACTAATCTATGTTTAATGCTGAAGAAGCAAAAAGTAAAGAGGAAACGTTAGAGAGAGAGGCCATAGAATAACGCCATGCTATTCATCCATGGTGAGGCTATGGGTATTATATCCGCAAGTTTTCTTGAGCCCCGGTATACCCCCAATCCTTTCCCAACATTAGTTGCATTAACAATAAATGATAGCAATGAGAGTTGTAGACAAAATCTGGTGACGAGGAATGTTCGCTTCCGTGTATTAAAAACAAGCTTGCATGGAAACATGAACTACAAATTCGAAGTAAAATTCCTTTTATCAAAATAACCAACCTCCCCACTCCTCTCGAATCTAGCGAAGCGAGGGCTCAAGAAAACGTGCGCGGATAATAGCACATTGTGAAGCATTAATTAAAGAACTTCGAAATGAAAAATTATTGAAGATAAATGAGTAAACATTCAATTTTCTTTGTTGTTCTTCTTCCTTCTTTCAAAGTTGTGTCATCTGATTTTGAAGTTTTAAAA